TATGATTATTGGGCATTCATTGTCGATGTAATTCAATGACTGAGTTACTAGGTACTTGACTAGTTTGTGTAACTTCTGCTCTGTTACATACCAATGACCATTCCAACTAGAAGCTGAATAGCCAAATATCTGTAGTTATAAAATAGCACCAAACATAGCATCACCTGTTCCTAAATCCATCTATTCCAAGCAACCAATTGCTTGAAATACACAAGGAAATGGCCTAGATCCTCTCTAGGTGCCCTCTTTTACACTTGCAGGCTCACATATCTTACATTACCACCATAATTAAATGGTGGGGCAGTTATGTATCTGCTACCAGCTTCTCTATTGCTGTGCACATTCAGAAGTGGCCCTTTTCTTATTGCAATAGTCCAGAAATGCATACATCCTTATAAATATGACGTTCTTGGGCAAAGTCTGGAGCAGAATAGTATTGCATGTGGGAATGTATATCATCATAACCACATAATACATAGGGATAATTCAGTTGCGAGATGCTGTCTCTGAGAGTTGTCAGTGTACCCTGTTAGCCTGTAAAGTTCCTGACTAACTACAAGATTTGCTGGATTATGATGAGATACTAGCTGTTCCGCCCGCCAGCATTGCTACAGTTTGTATTGAACTTTGTGCAACACGTGCCTCTCATCACTCTGCACAACTGTAGGTGGCTCAAACCCAAACATTGTGATACTTTTGCTTGCAAACAAGCACCTTGAGATCTCATAGATACCCCCCACTACTACTCGGTATCTTTCAGCTGCTTCTCACCACAATGACCCTTTTCTACTGTCTTATGCTCCAGGCTATGGGAAGTAACTGGAGCTATCTATAAATCTATTGGTACTGAGGGAAAAGCTATAATGTGGATATCATTATCAAAATTTCTAGGTCTAAAAAAGTTCCTTTCGTAGTCCATGCCACATTTTCAGGTTGAGTCCTTATTTCAATCACAGCTTCCTCCTCTTTGCTGTACTTTCTATGTGGTCTCCAAAGTGATCACATTAAAGGTACTAGAAAGTAAAATGGGGAAAAAAGTATGTTTAAAATAAATTATACAATAACAAACTATTTGACTACGTGATTATTTGAATTCATATTGGCTGATGGAGTGGTGAAGCTTTTTTAAGGAGTCTGGACAGGAGAAGATCAGCAAAAATTATTGTATACTATGATTTTAATTAGACAAAGGGTTCAAGTGTGGTATCCCATAACCCAAAGTTACACATGCCACTCAATGCTCCAAGTAACGTATACGGGGAGAATATCCTTAAATTTATACAAGTCTTTGTGTCAACCTTTGAGATAGTCTTGCTCCTCCTCCTCCCCTGAAAGTGGAAGCATACACATGACCAAAGTGGTACAAGCTTCTATTATTGCTGTATGTAACATTTAATTATGCAAAAAGGATTAGCCCGTATTAATGACTACCTGACATATGATGTCACAACTGCATACAGACCACCTTGATAAACGGGATGTCACAACTACGTTAAGATCACCGTGATTAACGAGATGTCACAACTACGTTAAGATCACCGTGATTAATGAGATGTCACAACTACGTAAAGACGACCTTGACTAAAGAGATATCACAACTACGTGAATACCATCTACGCAATAAGTTAGAAAAATTATATGAATGTACCAGAATAATGATATATTTTGTGTGGGTAAAATCAGTCGCTAGTTGAGATACAACAGAATGCCCTGAAACATATGAAATGCCATACATGTGCTACGTATTTCTGACTTAATTCTAAAGTTATCCATTGACTGTTTAAACAAATTTATCTCAATTATTTATGCAACAAATTGTTCGTGGGTTCATGACTTTGCTAGTTACAGATTCCCTAATACTGTAGGAGTCACGCAAAATTAAGCAAAAATATCACAAATATTGCAATTAATTACATTAATTATGATTTGGATTTCGAATATAAAATGAACGATTTTGCCTAAATGTTTGTCCAGTTCTTTATATTGAGGTAACAGGCAAAACATTAAATTACATAGCATGATACAGTATATTAAATGAAGCAGGTTAACTGGCTTATGTGCGATGAGTTAAAAACTAATTAAATAAGTTGAAAAGAAAAGAAAAACACGTGATTAACTGTCTTTATTTTGATGCTGGAGTGCGTCTTTCCATGCAGCAGTGAAGTCACGTAACTTGGAGAAAACCAGCAGAGTTGGGTCTGAGTGCAAGTTGTATGTGAAAGGAAAACACGGTATTTCACAGGAATTAAATAGCTAAGCGCACGGGGAAAACGTGATGAAACATCAAACAATTGTGTGTGTGTATATATATATACGTACGTACATGTATATACAAGAAATATGTTCCTACTTAACAACGGTAGATACTTCTCTATCGAACACCGGTCTTGTCACATATTTAAAGAGACTCAAGACTACGTATTGTATAACAACCTCACTTTGTTCAAGGTGGAATTCGCCATTCAGCATGATCTCTTCTCACCCCCTGTTCCGACTCCAAGCGGCCAAAAATATGCCCAATCCTTACCGTTTTCGTAGTTGTTTGTATTGTTCTTTCTGTTCCTTTGATCTGTTTTCAACGTAAACACTCATCGAATCTCCCACACTTGTGAAACGTGGACGTTTCACAATTTTTAATATCTTCATCACAGACTAGACAGATTACATTAATCAAGTGAGTATAAGATACGTTGATTCTTCACAAACAAACTGTAATGTCTTAATGAAAAATTAAATACAATAATCCACTAAGTTTTTATTATAAAGATATGTTCGCTTTCTTCATCTCTAATACCTTTTTCATAGATTAGACACATTACTTTTAGTTTTTATTATAAGGTACTTTTTGCATTCATATGGCTGTTGGGGTAGAGAAGCTTTTTATGGAGTCCGCTCAAGTTAAGTTCAGCAAGAATTATGATATACCGCACTTTTAAATAGAGATAGGATTCAAGTGTGGTATCCCATAACTCAAAGTTACACGCCACTGACTGTTCAAATTAACGTACACGGGTATAATAGCCTTAACTTATACCAACAAATATTGACTTTTTTTTTTCACAACAACCAGTTTCTTTATCACAGATTATACACAATACATCAATCAAGATAATCTTTACAGTAAGGCTCGTAAACTGTAAAATTTAAATATTTCAAAAACTTTCCATTTCCAAATCATTTCCAACAATCTCGTCACAATGTAATCTTAAGTTATAAATATGTGCTTTTTTAAAAAAACTTTGTCAAAGTCAATACAAAATATTTATGTAATTTAAAAATGGAATGGTTTATCTATACAGTATCAGTGACCTTGACCTATTAATGGCTATAACTGTTGAGGTCATTTATATTTTGTTGTTGTGTGTGATATGAAGCACAAAGCTACACAAAGGACTATCTGTGCTCTGCCCACCATGGGTATCGTAACCCGATTTTTATTGGTATAAGTCTGCAGACATACCACTGTGCCCTTTATATTTTTGTATTGTTATTATATGAAATATGACGAAGATTCAAATATAAAAATATATTCTGTAAATAAAAACAAGTCTTCTCAGACACTATGCAACCTAAGAAAACAGGATACCTTACTTTTGAAATTGAAGGGATCACAAAATATACAAAAAATATTTTAAATATATGTTAAATATGTTAAAATATAAGATTAATGGATATTACTTTACTGCTCTGAGATTTCAAACATTCTATAAATAAAATTGCATATTACATTGGAATAAGAAACTACACGAAGGTTGCGAATAAACATGCCTGACGAAGAAGAAAACAGATAAAGTTTGTGTTTGTTTTGGATATTCGGGGAACGACGCAAGGCTTATTGTGCTAGCATTCCCTTTAATGTGAGAGACTGAAGTTGTTTATTGTCGTTTCGTTCAATTTCACGCAAAGTCGTCCATTATTTCGAAGTGATAAGCTAGAGGGAACTCAGATAGTCAACAGCGCTCACCACCAACTCTTGGGCTATTCTAATCGAAAAGAGAGATTTAAGCGTCACTCTTATAACGCACCAACAGCCCCAACTTGCAGGGCACAACTTTGTGTCAACCATGTACCCTAGAATTCACAGTTTAGCATGTTTATCAGTAGGCCACGGTCGGCCTTAAAACGAAAAGAATGTTATCTTAGGTCTCAGCGCAAGTAAACAAATTGAAGTAAAATACCTTAAACAAAACCCCAAAACTATACAGGGCAATGTAACAAATTGAAGTAAAATACCTTAAACAAAACCCCACAACTATACAGGGGGAATGTAACAAATTGAAGTAAAATATCTTAAACAAAACCCCACAACTATACAGGGGTATGTAACAAATTGAAGTAAAATACCTTAAAAAAACACAACTATACAGGGGAATGTAACAAATTGAAGTAAGATACCTTAAACAAAACATCACAACTATACAGGGGTTCATTGCTTGTAAGATACATTAGATCTTTTCTATTTTTCTTTTCATCGTTGTTTGATACATATGTTCCTTACATGTTTTTGCAAAGTTGGACAATATTATTCTGTCAGTTTACTTATTTATATTGTAGCCACGTGTAGTGCAAAAATTTAAGGTTTTAAGAAGGTAAAATAATATTGTTTTGCCTGTTTTTTAACAAATAATTTGTTTTTCAATTTTCTCTAGGTCCAACATCTAAAAAAATGTTCAAAAGTCGTGAAAAACAATGCCATTAATATTGAGTCCGATATTCATAGCCATGTGCATGATGGAGCATAAAGAGAGTTTGAAATGTCATTACAAGTTTGAAGACAAGGAATCGCAAGTAACAGCTACTAATCTAGCGACTGGTGAAATCGAAGGCCAGGGTGATGTTAATTCCTATTTCGATTCTGAAGATAAGGAATCGTGGATAACGGCTACTACTGTTGCCATTCGCCAGATTGAAGAGAGATGCTGGAATAAAATACAATCTTCTAATCAGAGATACTTAGAAACTCCTGGCACTGACCCCACACCTACAAAACTGTTTTCAGCAAAAACAGTTCACCGGAGAGACAGACCCAAGTCCGATTCCTTTGTGAAAGTGGAGGATCAGTTTCATCAAAGTCCCTGCATCCCGCGTCGAACACTTTCAGACTGCCGACAAGATCGACAACTCTATGTCACCTTCCAGACGTCATCTTATCCATCTGCTAGACGTGGTGTGGCTTTTTTACTGGACGACATTAGATACATTGATGACAGCACCATGAGCACTATTTCTACTTTTCACGTGGACTCGTGGTCTTCCCTCTGTCCTTTCCCAACGATAGCTGACGAACTTCCCGATCCCTTTCTTACCCAAACCCCTCCTGTTTCCAGCTTTGATGGATTTTTCCACGAATATAAACTTCCTAGGCCTAGTCCTCTGGCAAAGGACCACTACCAGCCTCTTGCTGAAGAAGGCACCCCCAAGACTGAGAAAGGCGGCCAGTTACCATGTAAAGTAGTTACAGAAACACTTCTCCAGTGGGATCCCGACAGTCTCAGTGTCTATTCTCTAAAATTGGAAAAAGATTTCAGGTCAGTTAATAACCAAATTTATTTGAATCGAGTTCATTCTAAGATTCAGTTACTAGCGTGATGTACTGAGTAAAAAGGTTTTGGTTTTACACAAGTTTGTTTAACTTCTTATTGTTCTCAGTTTATAATGTCAATCCATGGTTGAAGTTTACTTTTGCTTGTTGCAACAAACTTATATTATACAAACTGTGGTACCCATTCTTTGTCCAGGTTATGAACTTACAAAATGTGGGGTGGATGTTATGATAAATAACACAAAAATCCCAATGTTCACACGATTTATTTATAACATTACATATTATTACAGTATTCTTTATTACCCCACCAAAATTTGGTATAAGCTATAAGAACTCAATATGTATATATGTAAAACATGGTATACACTGTGTGATGGCCAGGGTGACTTTGTAGGAAGAGGTAGCGGCCAAATTAAGGCGTTAGGGTGCTTTTTGTTGCCCTTCCAAAACCCAGTTTTTAATGTCCTTCCACAGTGTTTCACGTGATTAATTAATAGACGGTCATTAGTCGCAGAATTGTCTTACGGGTCAAAGTTGAAAGGTCACAGGTCAAAGTAGAAAGTTGGTATAACTCCAAAACGGCTCTTCACATCAGCCTTATTATTGCTGTTATTTGACATTTATTATCTTTGACTTTAGTTAACGTTAACTATATTCATAGATGGCGCCATGTCCTTACACCGAAACAAAAACTTTTTACAATTTCTGTAACACAACATACACACAGTGTGTGGGAGGAGTTGCATGGCATATTGTTACCGAAAACGAATTGCGTGGAATAATGTTACCGAAGACACGCTGCGTGGTGTCACGTTACTGAATAAATATGATGTAATCACTATTTTGTGTGTTCTAGGCGATTCTTTGTTATCTTTGCATGTAAATGTTTGACAAAAAATATTTTTGTTTTTAATAGATGGCAAAGGTTTTGTTTGTAATTAAGCACAAATATACACAATGGGCTATCTGTGCTCTGCCCACCACGGGTATCGAAACCCGGATTATTAGCATCGTAAGGCCGCAGACATACCGCTGTGCCACTGGGGGGCATATGGCAAAGGAAGCTTTAAAATTATCAAAGTGTTTGAGGAATCATATTTTATGGTCATTTCGGATGTCGATAGTTTTGCCGTTAAAAGTGATATTAATATATAATCTATATAAATAAAGTACAAAGAAAATCTGTCTGTCTGTTTGTCCGTTATCTAACTACTCCTAGGTCGCTGGGCCTATTCTCAAGTAAAATTTGTAGGGATGAGAGCTTGGAACAATGGGCATGTTAACGGGGTTCACAACCCCCTCTACTACTTATTATTGCTGTTATTGAGCATTTATCATTTTTTATGTAAGAACGTCAACTACATTTATAGATGGCGCCACATTCTTACACCGAAACAAAAACTTTACTTTAGTGTCTAGTTGTAGAGAAGTACAAATTCCGAAGTTGCGGCACAAATCAGCTCTGAGTATGAGCCAAGACAGTGGATAGGGATGGGAGGCTGATATGAAGTTATCCTCTCAAAACAGATTGCCCATAACTCTAGTTGTAGTATTGCACAAATTCTGGAATTTGCGGCACACAATAGCACAAAATCAATACTAAATATGTGTACAGTTTGGTTAAGTTTAGAGTTGGTGCGGTAGGGAGCAAGTTCATGAACCTGCCACCGGGGGCATCTTGCAACTAATAACACACAGTTTAACATAGATGCAACATGTAAAATCTATATAATGTAAATATATTGTAATTTCTTACTGTTTTTAAAGGTTTAATGAAAGGGCTGTGGTTAAAAGTATTTTGTTAAAATTATTTTTCTTTCCATGATGTACACGAGTATAATTTTTTTTTACTTGATTAATAAAACCACGTGTTTATACGTATTGAAATAGTCAATGTTTAAATTCCTTTATTCTCTCTCTCGTGGCGCAATGATAAGTCTGGTGGCTTATAACGCTAAGTATCGGTTTTCTATACCGCGGTGGGCACAACATAGATAGCTCATTTATAATTTTGTAATTAACTACAAACAAACAAATAATATCTAAATATCACAATGATCAAATGAGCATTCAAATAGCTAAAATGAGCAAAGTACATCACACCATAAACAAACAAACAATAAAAAACTAAAGTACTGACTGTTTCACCTTTCACACAGTTCTTTCATTTAATACTTAGCAATAAAGAATGCAGTGATAGTGGGCTTATAAATGATGTAAATATGTCCATATTCATTACAATACTGAGTTAAAGATATAATGCAACCTATATATATATTATTTATTTATTTATATATATTTGTTTTGGATAAAGAGGAATATTTCCTATTTTTGACACTCACTGGCTAGATGTAATTGACCTATGGCGCTTTGTGTTTTCATTTACTCACCACAGTGAAGTTATATCTAAGATTTGACGTTGCTAACTTATTCTTTTGAATGATTCAGTTGACAAGTTGTTTAGAATACTAAAGATAAATATGAAGCCCGATCTATCATTCAATTATTACCCACTTGTCATTTAGTTATATGTCTCAGTGATCAGTGATAAATCGAATGATAGAATGAGCTTCACATGTATTTTTGAGATAATTGGTTTATATTTTACAGGTTTATATACAGTGTTATAATTAAAGTTATTATCTTACAGGTTCTTTTTTTTTATTAATCAGTAACACAAATAACAATTACTTTAATTATTCCATCGTCTTTGTTCGAAATAAATATTTTTGTGGTTTATTAGAAATGATTATAATTTCAATAGTTGTTTTGGTCTTTTCATCATCCCTTATTTCATCATTTTCAACTCTGTGAGATTTCTAAAGATGTTTTATATGAATTATTTATAAACTGATCTTAAACTTTTCACTAAATAAAGACACCCTACATAACAAATTACGAATTTTTTTTTATTGAATTCCCAAAATTTACTTGGCGCTACAATATAGACAAACTAATTCAATATATGCTAACAGATATTTAAATTAATGTTTATGTTAATATTTATATTAATTTCAGGTATTTCTTCCAGCATCCGTACGCCCGTCTTTTTGTATCCTACTTTGTTATATTTTGTAATTTCCTCATTTTCGCTGAAGATCCAGTCTCGCACAGTCACACGGAGAGCGAGATTCCAGTAGTTGGCAATGTCTTTTCTTTTATAGCAACAAAATACCCTTCTGAGTGGACCTGGTGTCTTGTGAAGGTAGCATTATGGCTCTTTGCCATAGTTATTGGTCTTGAAGTTGGAAAGCATTTTATTCATAACTGCTTTTTAAGTAAGTACAACTTTTTATTACAAGCGTTGTTATGAGCAACATCAAACGAGGTTAGAAATTAATTAAATTTCGACAACTGTGAAAGAGAGTGAATGTGAAGCTTTCGATATTTACAGAGGATGATGTTGTGGCAGTTATAAAGTGTCAGGTTTTACTCTTCTATGACTTAAAAATTGAATATATCTATATACAAACAAAAGTTTTTAGATTTTCATGCATGTAATTGACATCCTTGTGAACATAATTTAGTCAATCCTACCTTGCCCATCATCTCGGTACCTCAATCGTAAACTAGAGAGTTAAAAACGGGGTTCGATTAAGTTAATATTGTTACGACAGCGGAAGTCACGTGACGCTGCTGGCGCATTGGCGCTGGTGGCGTATGCGAGGAGTTTCTCGAATGATCGTGGATTTCCTAGTTTGTTTCAGGCGCCCTCTTTTTTAGTATATAAGCCTGGCAAATAAAGCCAGCAAGGAATCATAGAATTGCATAGGCAGATAGATTGAAGATAGAGATAATTGAGTCAAGTGAACAGTAGACACCGTAAGTAAAGTGTGTGAATCGCTGTGAATTATAGCATGTTTTTATAAAAGTAGTTAAGTTAAAGTGACTGTGGAAATTCTGTGTATTACAAAGTTGTATCGAGAAAGAATAAACTAGTTTTAATTAAGAAAGGACTTATATCGCTGAAGTTTCTCGGAAAGAATTTATACCGGAAATTAACAAACAAACAAACAGATACGTAGCAATATCTCTAAAATATGACATGAGAGTGACTGATGACATAAATAATCTAGAAATGTTGATGACATTTTCTGACTAAAAGTGGGTCCTCCACCCAGTTCTTTTTGTCTTAATCCAATGAAGATGTCTTTTGTCTATCTTCAACCTGCAGCTGAAGTAAAGAACACCATGTTTTGTACAATAGATTACAGCTAGCACTTCAAGTTGGTGTTATACGTCACAATAAATGGAAATAAGAGTCAAGGGCACCTAGTCATTAAGGATTTTCGTCTCATACTATAACACTTGAGTTGGCTGTTTGTTTGTTGTTCAGCGAAAAGCTACACAATGGGCTAAAGGTAAAAAAATTAAACTTGTGGAAACATACGTACAGTATAGTTGTGAAAAAAAAGATTAAATCGTATATATAATAGTATGCTATAGATAGTATAACGTGGCATAGACAGGTAGATGTAGTGAATTGTAATATCTTTCTGAGGCTGAGTGTGGCCTTGTGAATAGCGTGTCGGACTGTGGATCTGTGGGTCTAATACTCACGCCCAATTACCGAAAAAAAAAGGAAAAATCTCGCCTCACACTTTGAGGCCGAGGGTGCGTTATAAGGGTAACGGTAAAATACTACAAATCGGTCAGAAAAGAATAGCGTAAGAGTTTGTAATGGGTGCAATTGACTACCTGCCTTCTTCCTAGACAGTGGGTGGATAACTTTACGTGAATATTTTTTGTTTGTTTGAAGTTAAGCACAAAGCTACACAATGGGCTATCTGTGCTCTACCCACCACGGGTA